TTCCATAGTGATACTGCCTCAGAAACCCAAGGAGGGGTCGCTATGAGTCAGGTCCGACTTGATGGCACATAATAACAATATTATACATATAAATATGTAAGTTTAATAGAAAAACAAACAAGTGCAATTTTTAAACTAATAAATTTAAGATTAATCAACTATCACCTTAAGATTAAAGCCTTGTTTTTTGGCTTTGATAGAATTACTATGAATAAACCAAATTTTTTCTTTCCTTAAATTTTTACTGACCACAACACTGTCTCAATATTAAAATATTGGGTTAATAATGATAATAACTAGCTCTATATCAAGCACAATCTAACTTTTAAATACTCAAAAAGAAGTATTTTTATGAAAATCAATAAACTCAAGATCATTTCTAAGCACCATGAAACTTGACTAAACTGAAGCAAAAAAGAGTTTGTTGTAATTTAAAAAATAATAATGCCAACAGTCTTAGGATTTGCCAGAGTTATTTGTAAACTAAAAATCAATAAATATTTGCTGAATGAATGAACTTCCATGAGCCATACAATTTCAGTTACTGGAGATACCACTACACCTACTCCTCATTTCTGGACTACCTCATTACTCCACATTTCATATTTACAACAACAGTAAAAAAAATCTACTATCTGACTATTTTGGGAGCTCTGGTAGTGTAGTGCCTAAGGCACTTGACTGCTAACCAGAAGGCTTGCGGTTCAAACCCACCAGCCACTCCTCGGAAGGAAGATGGGGCAATCTACTTCCGTAGTGATACTGCCAGGAAACCCAAGGAGGGGTCGCTATGAGGCGGGTCCGACTCGACGGCACATAACAACAACAAAAAACAACATCTGACTATTTTACACATTAACGATGGACATCTGACAGTAACAAATGCCAAGGTACAATGGTTGTGATGGTCAAGGTCATGTATCAACTTGGTTAGGTCATGACTCTCAGTGGTTTGGAGGTTATGTAATGGATGTAGTCATCTTCCATTTTGTGACCTGATGTAGTCATCCTCCATTTTTACATAATGCAAGTTTTCGCACAATGACTTGGTCTTTGGAACCTAGCCGTGTCGATAAGTAAGGGATGGGTATATCACTTAAAGACATCCTTTAAGTTAGTTAAAGGTGACAAGTTGGGGCTGATTTTTATCAAAGTACAAGGAGCAGTTGTTGTTGTTGTTGCTGTTTGCCATCAAGTCGGCCCCGACTCACAGCGACCCCTCCTTGAGTTTCCGAGGCAGTATCACTACGGAAGTAGGATTGCCCAACCTTCCTTCCGAGGAGTGGCTGGTGGGTTTGAACCGCCAGCCTTCTGGTGAGCAGTCAAGTGCCTTAGGCACTATGCTACCAGAGCTCCTACAAGGAGCAGTAGTCCGCTTTTAAAAGGAAAAGAAAAGAGGCACAGGGTAACAAGATCAGAGTCATTACGAAAATAGCTCCAAGGGAGCTCTGGTAGCATAGTGCGTAAGGCCCTTGACTGCTAACCAGAAGGTTGGCAGTTCAAACTGACCAGCCACTCCTCAGAAGGAAGGTTGGGCAATCTGCTTCCGTAGTGATTACGCCTCGGAAACCCAAGGAGGGGTCACTATGAGTCGGGTCCAACTCGACAGCACACAACAACAACAACAACACAACCAGAAGGACGGGGGAAAATTCATAAGACAAAGTGTATTATTTATTTCATTTGTGCCTCTTCTCTTGACTGTAAGATATTGGAGGTCAGGGTTTGCATCTTACAGTCATTTTGCAATCCACGGAACTTAGTATGGTGCCTGTGCAGATGATTAATAAATATTCCTTGGTTTGATAAATTTTAAACCTTTTGATAATTCCCTTTTTAAAAACAGCTTTGAGATAAAATTCACCTGCCAAACAATTCACCCATTTAAAGTGTACAAGTCAAAGGCTTTTAGCATATTTGCAGAGTTGTGCATCCATCACCACAATCAATTTTACATTTTTAGCACTTAAGAAATCCTGGACACATTCAGATGCTGGATTAATAATGATATAGCTAGCTCTCGATAGTATTCTCCCCATTACCCTTTGCAACTATGGATCTACTATTTGTCTATAGATTTCCAATTCTGGATATTTCATAAAAATGGACTCATAGAACATATGGCTTTTGTGTCTGGCTTCTTGCACTCAGTATGTTTTCAAGGTTCGTCCATATTGTAGCATGTATCAGTACTATATTCCTTTTTATTGCTGAGTAATATTCCACTGTATAGATATACCACCTTTTGTTTATCCACTCATCAGTTCACAGACATTTGGTTTGTTCGCACTCTTTGGCTGTTATGAATAATGCTGCTATGAACATTCATGTCTAAGTTCCTGTGTGAATGTATGTACTCAGTTCTCTTGGATATACACCTAGGAGTGAAACTGCTGGGTCATATAGGAACTCTATGTTTAACTGAGGAACTGCCAGATGGTTTTCCAAAGCAAGAAGTTTGATTTTTTTTTTTAAGTTTCATCTTTACACTTTCTAAAGATTATATATCAGATCACTTTTAAATGCTTTATGGGCAATTTTTTCAACTGGCTATTAGTTCTTTGTAGACAGACTCATGCTTCTTTTATGTTCCCCACATCAACACTGTATATAAATCTTGCTTAAGATTCAAGAGGTAAGAGAATAAGAAAGGGAAAGAAAGGAAAGAAGAAAGGAAAAAATATAAGCCCTACAGAGTTTAAATACATTAATATTTGATATTATCAAGCTAAAATGATGCAAAGATAGTATTAGGATACATTCATACTGTAAGTATTGGTTCATTTACCTCACACTGCTCCCAAATTAAAATTTTATATACCATCTGCCCTCAGAGTAAACATCCTCATTATTTTATTAAACTTGTAATTTAATAAATAATCACTATAAACAAGCACAGAGATGTTAGCATGACTCTCTGACAAATGATTTCATGAGAGAGCAAAAAGAAAATGACAGTAGGAAAAGGGAAAAGAATTAGAAAAGAATTGATCAGTGTGAAATCAAACAGTAAATTAGGATTGAATTTAAACCCTACACAATTTAAAATTTACAATTACATTTACCAGTATTTTTTCTAGATAATAATAAGCCTCATCAAATATCTGTAGAATACTTCTCTAAAAAGAAAAAAACAAGACTCATTCTTTTTCCTTCAGCTACACTAGCAAACAATGCTACATCTCCACCTAGTGACATGACATGATAGCACAAAGCCAGCTGAGAACTTCCACTTAAATCAACAGATGCTAGCATCTTTATGTTTAAATTCTGCTTTTCCATTCGTTATAAAAGAGGGAAATAACCCAAACCCACTGAATGTGCTAGCTCCTCATAGTGTAAGCTTGCCCAGTATCACGAAATTCTGACAGAACTGTCAAGGAAAAGTACTGTACAAATTTAAACTGTGGAGGATGGTGGATCCCAGGCATAAGCAGTCAACTCAAAGACCCAGTATGGTTCCTTAAAAAAAAAGAAAAGTGAGTTTTTTTTAAACATCACTATAAATTACAGTGTGCTAATGCTGTAATTAAAAATTGCATTATGATCTGTGAAAACCTCAAGACATCACACACACCAACGGGGAGTGCACCCAAGAACATGTATAGGGTTGGCAGAGAGTGGTCCTATAACGTTATGTGTATGATCTGAATTCCCAGGTGTATAGTGGAGCTGACAAGGGGCAAGGTTATGGTCACTGCTTGGTCACAGCCAGCTACCCAGAGGGACTGAGTAGTTGAACCTGTGGGCTCAG